TTAAGCTTAATTAACTTTGAATATATTTATCTGATAAATAACCCAACAGATGCTCTTCAAATTTGGTATGAATTAGTAACTCCAATAATTGATCGCCATGCTCCTATCAGAACTAGACTTGTAAGACTGCTATCAAACCTCAAATTTAATGCGACAGCATGATTTCCATAAAAGTAAGAAAAACGACACCAAATATAAAAAATGTCGAAATTGTTAAAAACAATGATTCCTTAGTCTAAATCAAAGTTCCTCCAGGATCTGGTCGAAGATAACAAAAATTCTAAACAAATATGGAATACATTAAAACTCAGCAGCTAACAAAAGTAACAGCAGTCCCCACATGCCACTGGACAGCAATATAGTTAATGTCTTCTTCTCTAATGTAGCCGATAAAATATCCCTAGTAATATAAGGCTTGATGATAATTTATAAACCTATCTTTCAAAATTCTGTTTATGAAAACAACTGATGTGGTTAATTCCCTACAAAAATCAGATGTTTCCAAGGCAGTCGGTCTTGATTCAATAAATCCACTTTTTCTCAGCTTAGGTCAATAAATCATAACATATACACTTCTTTATTTAAACAAGCTAATGTTATTCCACTTCATAAAGGAGGTACCAAAGATGAACCCAATAATTATAGGCCAATATCAATTCTTCAAAATATATCAAAAATTCTTGAAAGCCATGTTCAAAAACATCTTAACAAATATTTAAATAAATATCAACTCTTATATAGTAATCAATCAGGTTTCCGTTCATCTAGCTCTTGTCAAACAGCCTTAACACATATTACTGAAAACATGTATGACGATATTGACAACAATCTCCTTTGTGGAGCAATATTCTTTGACTTTAAAAAAATTTGACTTTAGTAAATCATGACATTCTTATTGACAAATTTAAACATTTTAAATTTTCTAGAAAATCAATTCTCTTTCTAGAATCATACTTTTCTAAGAAAGTCAAAACTTAATTATTTCTATGTCTTTTGCTCAATAGGTTGTCAACTCACAATTATACGATCATTGGTGTCATTCTCACACTTAAAACTCATTTACACAGGAAATAATAACACAATTACCTCCCAATTTCCTCCCTTGTTTTCTATTCTCCACCATGGAGTAGCTTTTTTCAAACGTTTGAAAATGAAGAGGAAAATGATATTTTTGCCAATTTCTCAGCTGGCAATAGTGAATTATAGGATTAATAGGATTATTCTTTAACAAGGTAGGACTGTTTAATGGATCATCTTGGAACTTTGCATAATTATTCATTAAACCGTAAAGACAGAAACTATTTATTTTGGTGCATGCCCTGTACCAAATTGTTCCTCAGTATGGTACCGTTGTGACGCTAAATCTCTTGACTGTCTTTTTTCGACAGCAAATAATGGCCTTAAAATTAATCTTAGATGTAAAACATACTGCCGACGTTTACCCTTGACTAGATAAATTGAAAATTCTGACAATAGTAAATCGACATCTCTAATCAATGTATATTTATCTATAAAATTCTGCTAAAACAATGCCCTGATTACTTATTTGACCTATTACCTTATTATCAAACTCCTTATAATCATCTTGACAATAAACTTACTACTCTCAAGCCAAACATTAATATAGTTAAAAGCAGTATACGCTTTAAAGAACCCAAACTATGGAATTTGTTGCCGCCCTCTTTAAAAACTTTTCAGGAAAAAAATTCTCCTTTACCTTAAATCTACTCCAAATATATTATCCTAAAAAAAGCCCCCCCCCCCCCCCCCATCTCATATTTCTTATTACATGTATTCTGTATATCTCCATATTATTTATAAGCATGTACATATACATACATGCCAACTATTCAAATTTTGTCTTAATTCTGAATTCCGATTTTACTCTTTATAATTCCGTTTTTTAAAATTTATTGGAAGAAATTTATTTTATTTCATTCCTGACCTTTTTGATTGATAAAATCCTCTCGTTTTATTTTTACATTGACGACTGTCTCGGCATTCTCGCTGTTTGTTGTGAATCTGATGGCGATACTGTTTATCATAGTATGAGTCGGTAAAACAACGAAAATAGTCGAGAACATGTGTCATATTTTCCTTATTATGATTAATATAAAATAGAATAAGCTATTATGTCTGGAATAATCAAGATCAAAATGTCATGTGGTTATTTCCGTCATTTGCCGTGTCTAATTTGCATAATTCGCGGTAAAACGACGGAAATAGCCGAAAACATGTCTCCAGTTTTCTCGATTATTATTAATATAAAATGGAATAAGCTAATATGTCTGGACTAATCGAGATTAAAATGTCATGTGGTTATTTCGTCATTGGCCGTGCCTAATTTGCATACTTCGCGGATATTATTTGCTTCGCGGATATTATTTGCTACGTGGAGCCATTCTCGCATACACTCGTACATTACACTCGTACATTACACGGCGGGTTTACCGTTAGTTGCCATTAACGTTGTTAGCCATATTTCCTTCTGACTTGATAAAACATGTTTTCAAGCTGTTTTCCATGTGTGTAAAAAACAAATTACAATTATAAATAAAACCCAGTATAAATAATTTACGACTTCTACTTCCGTGTCGGTCGTCAAGACAAACAAAATGGCTTCCAAAACAAATGTCAGACAAAAATACCGGGATTACTTGATTTTGGGTCTAGTCATAACTTCATAAGTGTTTTAAAAAGACACATTGTTGAAGAAATGTGAGATTTATAATTTATTTTAAGGTTAAATAATATGAATATTATTACATTAAACTATTTTAAACAGTACAAGTCTTATACAGTAATTATGTTTTATGTAGCCTCTTACAATTCACAAGACAATTTGAGAACATTTTTGTGTACATCAAGGTCGATATTTATTGTCAACTTTGAGCAAAAATATTAACTGGGATTTTTTTCTTTCTTAACTCCAGGCCTGGATTATTTAGGACTACACCTTTAACTAACATAGTTTATATACTTAATGTCGATCCCAACTAAGCACATAGCTAATGGTAATCTGTTATCTTCACTTAACAACAAATTTAGGTCATGCCTACATGTAAATGACCAAAAGCATATATGCATACTTTCGTATATAAATAGGTAAAAAAAACCTCAGATGCATGGACCTAAATCACCAGCTGTTTTTATCCAATAATACATAGTACTGCTTTAAATAGGTGCTAATTTCTCAAAATTTTCTTGGGGCCCTTCATGCCTCCGGCTCCTGCGGGGCTTCCAGCGCTCACGGTGCTTTGCACCGATCGAATTTGGACCTGCGGTCCTCGCTCTACCCCAATACAAGACATTCTGATTTTCAATCTTTTCAGGTTGGCATGTATGCATATATAATCTTCAAAAAAAGTAGGGGATATTGAAATGCAAATGCCTATGCAGGTTGCGATAAGATAAATAGTCATGGACATTTGACATGCTTTGAGAGTATGTTCACAGATAAAGAACTTAAGGCCCCAACCGAACCACTGAGCTGCACATGTGACACGCAATAGTGCCATACATGTGGGAGGGGTTCATTGTCAAAATTAACACTGCTGTGTGCTGGTTTATCTATCCATGTTTGCTTTCCTATCGGTTCTTGCGTAAGATTTACTGTTTAGCGTATCTTTGCTTTAGTGTGTGGGTGGTTGGATGGTCGAATGGTTAGCACGCGCGCGCTGTATCATACGGTCTGTCATTGAGTAAACTGGTGAGGTTTCGATTCCCCGGTTGTACGTGACAAGGAGTAGGGTCGCCTGTCCACCTCGTGGGTTTTCTCCAGATCCTCCGGTTTCCTCCCATTGCTAAAGACCCCTAAGCGCAAGTGAATTATTGAAATACAATTGAACCATATGTTAGTCCCAAAATAACCTAGTTTGTGTCAAGTGGACGTTAAACCCCATTTCTCTCTCTTTCGTGTTACGTTTAATTTGATCGTGAGACGTGTTCGTCGACGCCTTCCGACAACACTGCAAGAATTGGCCGTGGCACTGCAAGAGGAGTGGGTCAGATTGCCCCAAATCGTGATTGGACGGTTGATTAGAAGCATGCCATGACGAATTGCTGAATGTCTGAGGATTGATGGAGCAATTACTCATTATTAAGACAAAAATCAAAAACGTCCATTTTCACTTTTGACGGTGTATCTCTTTGCGAGTGAAATGGGGCCGTCCGATAAGCCGCCCATATGAACTGTTTATGTTAAATCATAGTAGAATATCCCCGGCAACAAACTTAACAAGAATGTGTTAGTTTTAATTAAAGTATATATTTCGAGGACGTGTTTCAGACGTTCGTCCTTTATCAACTAGTTACATAAATAATAACGTTACTGGGTATATAATATATAGACAATAGAATTATTGCGCATGCGCATAACGTTGAGGGTTATTAATCCCTATACTGGGAGTATAGTGGACACACTAGAAGTCACAATTTTTATCCAATTTTGATGAAACTTGATAATTGTCTGTTTATAACCCAAAGATTCGGTTCCTTACGATATTTGCGTATATCGGACCGTAACTTCCTAGATTATAGCCCCAGATTGTATGAAAAAAATCTCATTTCTTAGCATGAGGTCAGAATTTTTATTCTATTTAAAAAACATTTAAATATATCACCGTTATACCCTAATTATGATTGAGTTAAAATTTCTTGAAAATCGACAAAATGGACGCTCCTTGTACACAAATAGTGTAAAAGCATGCTATAACAAGGTAGTGCACCCTCTAAAAGTCACAATTTTTGTCTGATTTTGATGAAACTTAAGATATGTTTATATCCAATAGATCTTGGTTCCCTTCGATATTCATGCTTATCGGACCGTAATTTCCTGGATTATGGCCCCTGCTCATTCTATCCATCTCTTGTAAAATGTGGGCGTATCTTGCATAGCAACCGCCTGTTATGTAACATTTGAGGCCAAAATAAAGAACTGCAATAGACAGATTTAGCTCTTACATAATACATCTTTGATATACTATGTTTATATTTGGTAGGAAGTTGATAGTGTAAAACTAGAGACAGAAGAACTACAGAAAGAAATATGTAATTATGAATGTCAGTTAGAAACCTGTTATATAAATATTTTTGAGTTAGAAGGAGAAATACTAGAATTGCAGAAAGATGGTGATAATCAGAAGGTTGGTTTTATTGTGGGATTTGTTTGGATCAAATTGAATCCTTCTTTGAGGTGATGTTTTCTCTGCAACCTGGCTTCAAATAAAACATGACTGATGGAACTGTATACAAAGGTTTCATTAAATATTACTGTAGGTGGGTAAAGTATTGGAGTAGGCGGCTAATCTTTTGAGAGCCAAAGGCTTCAAAAGAGCGCCGCAGGCGTTCAAATTGGGCAGCAAAGGCGCCATCCCTCCCCCCACCCCCGAGAAAATTTTGCATTTTGGCATACAATATGATGCAATTTGGTTGATTTTACACCATTTTCAGAAGTCTACACTTCAAGGCCAATAATATAGGCATCTCTGTATTACAATCATAACCTATATCAGGTAAATATTTTTTTAAATGTAAAAGTTAGCACAAAGTAATTAACTAGTGAACAGGTTTGAAAACTCAGTTTGGTGCAATCGCGGAAATTGGATTGATCTGTCAACTCAACGATCCCTTTATCGACCATTTTTCTAATGTAGCTTGCTAGCTATCTCTACACCGGTCAAGCAATACATTGTGGGCTATTAAACTTCATTTTTGTCTTGTTAAAAATGCTACCTCCGGTCGTCAAGAAAGATACTTGTAAGTCAGCTTCTTTATTTTTGCTGACAAAAAATAAACAACACTTAAACACGCAGAGTTGCGCACCCTGAAAATTGCTTCCTAATGACGGCCAGACTGATTAGGGTTGAAATTTAATTTTCGTTATTTTGACATTTTTGCATTGATGGCACTTTTGAACATGTGATTTCTCAAGGTGATTTTGTCTGATCATATAATGTAATATATCATTATAGAGCCCTGCAACCATTCAAGTGCAGAAACCGGTTATTAAAACTATTCTGATAATGATCTCCATCCGGAAGTATTCTAAAAATGAAAAAAAAAATGGTTAAAAAATTGGCACTCTTCCGAAAATCTTGATTTTTCTGTCAGATATTAGCTGAACAAAAGAACTAAAGTGTTGTTGGATAGTCTGATTTATGGACTATCATATGACATCTAAATGATACGAATTTGATGATTTGGAAATGAATTATGGCGCGTCGAAAATCTAGTATTTTCCGTTTTGGAGCCTTTTGAGACACCCTTTTCTCGAAAACGACACAATTTTTCTTAAACTTTTTTTACTCAGAGTCCTATCGGTGGTCTATGGCATGAATCCAAAAATAAAAGCATTGAAATAATTTAAGTGGTCCAAAAAGAGCCTCAATCTTTGAAAAAAGTTGAAAAATCCTTAAATTAATTGTTTTGAAAACAGCTCAATGGATGTTTCTGAAACTTCTTGTACAGAAAGTTAAGTATCCAATCAACTTGTTAAAACTATCCCGATAATGATCCAAAAACCGGACGTAATCGAAAAAATATCTGGTATTTTGAAAAAAATTTGTCTCAGTAATTTGTGTTAACCGCCATTGGCTAACTCAGTTTTTCGGTCCTAGATTAATTATTTATTGTTCGATTTGTATAAAACAAAGTTCATATGCTCCGTTTTCCGAAATGTCATTTTTATACGCCCACGTTTGTGAACACTCTACAGGTCACAATTTTTATACGATTTCAATGAAACTTGTTTGAGCATGGACTCTATCTGTAATTAATATTAAATTTTAATTAGTGACGTCAAATCTTTAACGTGCACGAAACCAGAAAATTGGCGATTTTTCATTGAATATTCAATCAATTTTTGAACCAGTTACATATTTGAGTAGCTGACATGAACGCGATTCCAAAGTCTCGTGTACACATTGGTGTGACCGTAAAAGATCCCTTGGCGGTTGGAATTCTATATAAAAGAAGACTAGCGCCGCTGTACGAGCATGTTTAGAGATCATTTCGGGACTAACATATGGTTTACTTTTTTTTATTTCAATAATTCGCTTGCGCGTAGGGGTCTTTAGCAGTTTGAGGAAACCGGAGATAACCCACGGGGTTGGACAGGCTTGTCACGTTCAACCGGGGAATCGAAACCTAGCCAGTTGACTCAATGACAGACCGTATGATACAGCGCAGTCCCAAAGGCTGTAGCCTACCGTGCAAATTCCAGCCAGCATAATGTATCTATATAAGAAACATTTATTCCTACTGGCGATTTACAAATATTGCATGAAGAAATTCAAATCATAAGAACATAAACACGACTAATGCACAGTCTCATATTGATTATAAAAGTATAATGTATATATTGGTTATACTATATATGTCACAAAACAACAATCATTAGATAATAATAATTATTTACTAATTATATAAATCATTTAGGAGGTAGGAGTTATCCATTGTTTAATTTAACAGTTATATAATTACCCTGATTAGAGAGAGAGAGAGAGAGAAATGGGGTTTAACGTCCACTCGACACAAACTAGGTCATTTCGGGACTAACATATGGTTTAATTTTATTTCTATAATTCGCTTCCGCGTAGGGGTCTTTAGCAGTGGGAGGAAACCGGAGGACCCGGAGAAAACCCACGAGGTTGGACAGGTGACCCTACTCCTTGTCACGTACAACCGACGTACACGCCAGTCGACTCAATGACAGACTTTATGATACAGCGCGCTCACGCTAACCATTCAACCCCCCACCCTGGTTAGAAAGGTATGAACAATTATAGAGAGAGAGAGAAATGGGGTTTAACGTCAACTTGACATAAACTAGATCATTTCGAGACTAACATATGGTTTAATTTTATTTCAATAATTCCCTTGCGCGTAGGGGTCTTTGTTAGTGGGAGGACCCGGAGAAAACCCACGAGGTTGGACAGGCGACCCTACTCCTTGTCACGTACAACCGGGGATTCGAAACCACGCCAGTCGACTCAATGACAGACTTTATGATACAGCGCGCGCGTGTTAACTTTCGAAAAAGTTATATTTTTGTACAGCTTGGGATATTGCGGATGCGATAACGGCCGAATTGAAATACCATGTCATTCTCATTTTTTCTTCAAAATTTGAAAATTTACTAAAATTGTTATTTCTTGGAACTTTGAGTTTTCGCTTACATATTTGGATTGGCGGCGTCTGTTCGATTCTACCGATCTAGGATTATCATGATGTGAATTGTTCAACTCTATTTTTCAATTACCTTCTCTATCGCAATGCGAATACAAAGAACGTGTCAATATCTGAGTTATGTTAGTGTATTGGTTTTTTTTTGGGGGGTGGGGTGTGGGGGAGTGGTGAAGAAAGTCTTTTGTCATGCATCTGGCGATCGTGTGACGCCTTGGCACTGTGAAAGCCTTCAGTCTTGCAAGCAAGTCTAGTTATTCTTTTTTTTTTATTGGGGGAAGCTAGATCTCAGCAACTATAAGAAATAGAGGTTTGAAGTTTGATTTTCTGTTGGGAAAGTGGTGTGCAGCTACTGCTTAAAGCTATTTCCAAATTTGTGCGCATGGATTCTTCAGATATTTACATTTTTGGATAGCTGGAGACATTTCTGAGCAGATAGCAGTTCAAAACTGTGCAAATTAGAAACTTTGTCGCTCTAATTTTTTTGGTGAAAAATGGAAAATTTCCAAAATTTTCTAAAATTTTTATTTTGGGGAATTTTGAAATTTCATTTATATTTTTGGATAGCTGACATCAGTCCGATTCCAACAATATAAGTTTTGTTCTGAAATGTTGACTTTGATTTTTCACTTTTTTTCGCATTTTGGTCAAATCGTAGAGTTTTTATTTTTTTAAAACGGCTCCAACGATTTTTCTGAAACTTCAGGAATATGAAGTCGAAGGACCAAACCAGTCCATGAACTATAAATGAAAATCCTCTAATCACCGGAAGTAGTCAAGAAAGGTATCCAAACTTTGACAAAATTGTGAAAAATGGGTGCCTGTGCGGAAAATGCGATGTATCAATTGTGTTCTTGTCGATTAGTTAAAGTTTTATATCGTTTTATAGCCAATTGAATTGTCTATCGGATGGTACTAAAGCGGCATGTTTCTATCAAAAATTTAAAAAGTTATGTGACTTTGAAAAGTAACGTTTTTTACGATTTCGAGCAATTTTAGACGCATGTTTCTCGGAAAGCCTCCCAACGATTTTTTAAAAACTTTCTCAATCGAGAGGCTAATGGGTACTCTGTTTTGTGAAACCACTGTATCATTTTTTGAAATGTCAGGGGTAGCCGAAAAAAGAGATCGAAAATCGAAAACGTTGTATTTTTACGATTTGGAACATATTTAGAGGCCTATTTCTCGAAAAGTCAACATAATTCTTTTTTGGAACTTCTTCTACAGAGAGGCCTATCGGTAGTGTTGTACATACAACGATTGTACAATAGTCCCAAATTTCAGGAGTAGCAGAACAAAGGGACCGAAAATTGAACACGGCACCTTTCATTGTTAAGCGAAACATAAGTGGGGGATAAAATCTGTACGTTTTGTCAACGTATAGAGCCTATTCAAGAGTGATGATATTTGAACTGAAATTATTTCAACTATGAGTGTTTTCTTCTTTCCAAAATATGGGTTTAGTGACCCTGTAACAGAAATAGTTGATTGCTTTGTGTAATAATTAGCCTTTGAATTAATATTGTTGCTTCTGTGTCAAAATTATCTTATACCGGTAATCATCTGGACAGAAATCGACGGCTCGCGCTGTTTATAAGAAAGTCCAATTTATTAAGCGTTTGCAGTAGTATCGTACAGTGGTATCGAATATTGCACCTGTGATAAAAGGCATGACGTTGTTTGAGCATGGACTCTATCTGTAATTAATATTAAATTTTAATTAGTGACGTCAAATCTTTAACGTGCACGAAACCAGAAAATTGGCGATATTTCATTGAATATTCAATCAATTTTTGAACCAGTTACATATTTGAGTAGCTGACATGAACGCGATTCCAAAGTCTCGTGTACACATTGGTGTGACCGTAAAAGATCCCTTGGCGGTTGGAATTCTATATAAAAGAAGACTAGCGCCGCTGTACGAGCATGTTTAGAGATCATTTCGGGACTAACATATGGT